GCAGCATGCAGGGAGGAGCTAATGAGCTCAAGCATTTTACAGGTGGTTTCTCTCACGATCAGATATTTCTCCATTTGTTTAATGACTCTAATGAAACTGTGTGTTTCTCTCTTCCCAGGATTCCCAGGTGGATCCAAAGGATTATGGGTCAACATTGTCCTGGGTTCTTCCTCTTCTCTTCAATTCTCCACCTCCAAACCAACCAGCCCTGCTAACCGGGGCATCAAGTAGACAGAAACAAGCGCACCTCATCGGTACACAGACTGAAAGGAAGTTAAGAAATCCGGAACACTTAACTTCCCATTTCTCAGCCCTCTTTGCTGCTCAGGATTTGACAGCCTGAGTCAGATGGACAAACACCAACAAAGTCCACATAAAAAGACACTTTTACGTCACGTTTAATATCGATGCAGCGAAAATGTTTTGTTGCAGTATAAAATTGGAGGCCTTATGTGGAGTCAGAAGGTGCCAACTATTGTTAAAAAGTTCAATTTTGGCAAAGACATCTTATACTTTACACTGTGCAGCTCTCAAAGTGGTGAAAATGTAAATGTAACGTGGAAACTGGTCCTAAAACTGAGCGAAGTGATCGTTTCAGTGGGCCAGTACTGTCTGTGAAACTTCAGGAATATATGTTTGTAAGATTTTTTGCAGGGAGTTATTTTAACTCCAGTCTCAAGCTAAATGTTCAGGTACTAAGCACAATAAAATACATGTTATGACTCGTGGATGTGTGTATTTAAATTTGACTTAATGAGTTGTTTCTCAGTATGGAAGAAGGAAGCTGGCTGCTCATCTCTCTCCTCAAGAAACCTGCAGTATCTACGACAATAACACAGAAAGAAAGAAATTTGCTTGAGGGTGGGGGCGGTTGTGCAATAGCAAAAGTGAAAAATATGTATTTCAAAATTAAGAGGAACACTTAATGTGACTGTGAGAAAAGATGAAAATAGATAGCGTCAGTAAACAGTAATGTCTCTGGCTAGAGAATTTAGATTGCTCAACTCTGGTTTGTCTGTCATTGCAGCAACTTTGCAGCCTGGGCCTTGGAGTCACACAATGTCACTTTCATTGATTAAAAATTAAATAAAAAGGTCAATCTGAAAATCATTAAACTACAACTGTGTGGTAATGATGACAGAGATTTGCACACCGAGCCATAAAGCCCAGTTTGGAAATAATTCAACAGCAGCAAATCATTGACTGGAGCTCCGTCGGCTGCTGGGGGCGGGATAACTACAGCGGCTAAAGATTTAGCTTCCATACGCTGACCACAGCACATCAGAGGGGGTCAGTAGACGGCACAGTTATGTAGTCTTATGTAGTAGACGGCATCGGCTTATGGACAAAAACAGATGATGGAGTAGATCAAAGATATGTGTTTTATTTTAATTTTTTAGAACAAATACTCAACAGTCTTTTTTGGCCAACTCTGACAGCTCTAGAAGTGATGAGCAGATTTCCTCTCACACAGTTACAGTAGTCACTTCCTCAAACCTGCTGAGCTTCATCCTGTTTATTAAAGAGCTGCCAGGGAACATTTCATCACACATACAGCTGACTGCATCAATAGCATTATTTCCTAAATTGTCTAGTAATCAAGTGCAGCACGTTCCTGCTTCGTTCAAACAGCTGATTATTCATCATTAAATGGCAAATATTTGATGGTTCCAAGTTCGCAAATGAGAGAATTTGCTTCTTTTTTTAAGCATTTTGAAGACATCACCTTGGACTGTTTTATATCTTTCACATTTTAGACTTATCAGTTACCAATTAGGGCCGCACAATATGGTAAAAACATCACATTGCAATTATTTGATCATAAATTAATTATTTTATGATTCATGATTACTGTTTGAACGATCATATTTGCATCACAAATCTAATTTTCACTGAAAAAACTGTTAAAATCATGTTGATATGAGATTTTTCGGGGTGCTTAGTATCAAATAAAACATTGTTTTTTTGTTTGATTAATTGTGCAGCCATATATAAAATATATAAGATTAGATTGCAGCTCTATGCTTAATACTATTGTGATACTGATATCAGCCAGCACTACAGCACCAGGGAGCCAAAAGAAGGACAGATGTAGAGAACCAGAAGGAGGAGAGGGAGAGGAGCCTGACAATAAATGAGTGAGATCCAGACAGAGAAGAGAAAATCGCCTCCTTCCCTCCCACTTTTCGATGACCCTCCGAGCACCCAGTGACCTGGAAAAAGTGCAGCGTGGGAGGACGACCGACCACTCGGCTCTTCAAATGAGCCACAGAACAAATCCCCTTTTCAACCTTTCAACACTGTCATGCAGAGGGGCCACTTTACAGCAGTGTTGCCCATTGTTTGTCTTTCCTCTGTTTCATAGAGACAGACAGAGAGACCGATGGGGTGAACAGAGGACAGCGGTGCTTACACAAACCCATTTTACACTCAAATGGGAAAATCCTTGCGTCAGGATTTGCACTGCTCTACAGTCAGCAGGGAGATTTTTCTCCACATGTCAGGATAACTTGCATAAAAGTCAAAAGATAAAAGGGAGTTTGTGATTTTTGGGGAAGCGCAAAAGGCTGAAAATATGTTCTGCATTGTCATCACCTCAACTGTCCTCACCACCCAGGTCAACAGATACACAGATAATAGAGAAAAGACAAAAAACAAAGTCTATAAGCTTGAAACTACAAATGGAATTGGTAATAAATACATTAATAAATGCAACCAGAATAGCTATATCATAAAATGTAATTAATAAAATATAATCAAATATGGAACAGGACTGTGATTAAGAATCATCCAACATTGCCACAAAGGTGAATCGTGTAATTCTGAAGGTCATTTAGCAGCATAGTCAGCAATAAAAAGTGCAGCAGTCAGCTCTTTGCCATGTGAGATTTCAGATTAAAAAGACTAAACAGACTGACCTTTAAAAGAAGCAAGAAGTGAGGTGTCAAAAAACTGTACATTTATTTCTGGACTCACATTGAGCGGATTTATCCACGTGAACGCAGAATACAGAGTGGATATTTGAGGTTTAAGACCCTGACTTCATCACTCCATACACCAAAACTCAGCAAAGCAGACACTGCATGTATGTGCATTTAAATTCAACATTTCAACAACACTAGAAGTTGTTTGAATGGGCTGCTGATATGTGGTCATTGCCCCATTAAAGCACCTCCAACCAGTGCAGGTAAAGAACTATAAAGTCACATTATTTACACATTATTCAAAAGTGAATTATGAGATGTTATGTTACATAAGAAGCACATGACCATCAGCACAAGAGCCTAACAGATGCAGCAGTAGAAAAGACGGGTTGTCAGGGGTTGCTCGTCTGAATAGAAAATGTCAAGGTTACTGCCGACCTTGGATGTTACAAACACTGAGAGATATTACAAATAAATGTATTATGGGGAGTGTGTTTTCCACCACAAAGCCATAAACACAGTGTTACAGTATCACTCTAAAAAGCAACAAACCAAAACACCTGATAGGAAACACACAAACACGAGCCACAAGGGATCATAATGATAACGATGAGGCCCAATGACGAACTGAAACTTGGCTCAACCAGCACAAGAAATAAACTCAATTAAAGCCAAACGCTGCAGATAGATGGAAAGTAGGCCTGCAGTTGCCAAAACAACAACCACAAGCAGGATACAGCCAGCGGCACTGACAGGCAGCCGAAACCTACTGGTAACACCGAGCAGAGCCAGCCAAGACATCCACAAAACAACACACACACACACACACACACACACAGAGGGTGGAGACTTCTCATCAAAGGTGTGTTTGATATATTGTGCAGGGCGGGAATGGGGTGTGTCACTGAGTACTGTCTACAAAATTATAATTATAATTCTTAACATAGAGAAACAACCGCCAATTTCCAAACCAACCGCCAAAAATGGGCGATAAGTACTGATAATTGGTTATTAAGAGTCCAAACTGTTGAGCTGTTTCTGCTTTTTAGACACTTTTTATGCACTCTGGAGTCAGGGAGGATGAGGAGGAAGAGGAGGGACATCATGCTGGGAGGAATTTAATCAAAACCTGTGACACAGAAAGCAGGTTCATTCTTACATTATCAACATTCAGGCATTATATATCCTAAAGAAAGGATTCTTCCAGGTTTTATATGTTGTTTTCCTTCATGTGTATTAGAGCTTTGATTCTGGGCTGGGGTCGGGTCGGAGTTAGATTTTTAAAACAATACATAATTTATATTTTATTAATGATGCATGCAGCTGTAATTCATATCCGAATGTTATTTATTAGTTTTGATAATAATTTGCACTTAATGTAATAAAATATTTAAATTATTAATTTATTTTAAGCAGAAATTTGGGTTGGGCTCTTGAAACTGATACACTGACAACTTAATTACATTTGTATGTTAACAAAGGTCCTGTAGATATTTAATGTTTCTGAAATAAAGTTCACTGCCAAAGTGAAATCTGCTACTTTTGTAAGGGAAAACATCTAAAACTGATTTCTTTCTTTCAAATTTGATTCAAACTTAACTTCAGGAGCAAAAACCAGAAGTAGGAACCCTCTGGAGTTGAACCCAGTCTGTGCAGGATGTGTGTTTTTAAACCACGGGGACTGCAGGACTCAGATGTGTTACAGTGTTTAGACACTGAGCCAACACTCCGGGTTCACCGGGAGCAGCAGTTGGAGGACGTGACGTGCTGCTCTCTCAGTGTTTACTTTGCTCCTGGAATAGCCCTGTACGAAACCAGTGAACCACTTCCTGGCAAACAGACTCTTTCACCTTCCGGTCCTTATAGGGGCTATTTCAACCAACAGCTACTGCTACATTAAACTTCTAAACACTTTAAGCAGTAAACCCACAGAGATACTTTGTACTGGAAGCACATATTGAATTCAAACTAAACTTCTATTGTAATATCTCTCTTCCTTTTACTGGTGAATGTATGCTGAAGGAATATTATTGCTTTAAATGTGTGTAAGAAGAATAAAAGACCCAACACAGAACATTTAGGCTGCAAGAGTCTACTTTATTGCATTTGCAATCACAGGGTGACAAAAGTGAAAAATGTTCAACAAAGGCATGTGGAGGTGTATGCACCACAGTATTACAAACACAGAACAGTACAAATGTTAAAAAAAACAAAGGAGCTTATCAGTTGCATCATCGTCTTGTTTTTTTTTGGTTGTTTTTTTTTATTCATTTTTTTTTCTTTGTTGTCAATAAAAAAAATAAAAAAAAACACAAGGTTACCAAAACATAAACAGGTAAGGCAGCCTACACTACGATGAATAATATTAAAAAAAACTAATAAGGTTGTAAACGGGACATCCTCCCGTCACCTAGCGTTGGTCAGAGAGGCCGCGGGATCAGGAGGAGGTGGGGGTTCCTGCTTCGCTGCTCTCGCTCACCTGCCGTTGCATCACCATCTCCCTCGCAACGCAGGTGATCTGACCGTTCGTCACCGCGCCCGGGACCCCCGCCCTGAGGGAGAGAGAGAGAGAGAGAGAGAGAGACTGAAAACCCACTCCTGATAGTGTACAACAGGAAAAGGGAGCGTCTGCGTGTCGAACCAGTGAGAGTTACACAGCGACAAGTCGTAACAAAGCAAACACGCAGTCATGACAGAGTTAATTGTCTACACCACTCGTGTGTTAAGAGTCCTGGATCTCCTCCAAAAGCATTTCCTCTATAGATGATTATAAAAGAAACATCTGGACTTTACATTGTTACTCCTTCTATTGTGTAATCCATGAGTCTGGTTTTATATTTGTAAAACTTCCCCACAGCCTCTTGTTTGCATAAACCTAGAAAACGTTGTTCCTATAATACATCATGTTCTACACTCGACACATTGTTCAACAAAATGTACAAAACTGGCCTGGACTCGTCTGAAAACACTAGTAAAACACTAAAGTAGGGGAATGCAGCTCATATCGGCCAGTGGATTCTCAGACACATAAAGGATTACGATGAGGAATAAAATAATGAAGATACAGTGTCAGAGTTAGGGCATGTGTCAGCAGTGTGTGTGTGTGTGTGTGTGTGAGAGCTGATACTTACTTCTGCTGTGCCTCCTCAGTCAGTGGGGTCATCCCTGGCTGCTTCCCAAAGAAGAAACTGGACCACCAGTGGCCAGAGTCCTGCTTGGGGAGTCCTGTGGAGGCACATAAAGGAGGTGTAAAGGCTCTGAGTCTACACAGAGAACCAGCAGCTGCCCGTCAACATGAGTCAGACCAGTTTAACACGCCAGTACAGTGTTGGTGATCAGATTAGAGGTACTTTGTTCTTCCCTGTACAGCTGCCAGAATTACATCCATTCTAGGCTAAGCTAAATATAAATCACAATCATTGCTGACTCGGTTCTAACGCCACAGTTCTGTTCCCTGTGGTTTGCCATCATTTAACCATCAATGTTGTGATATTCAACAATAACAGCAGTAATGAAAGGCGTGTGCGCTCCACAGTCTATGAATGAACCCCC